TGAACATCTCAATTAATCCATCTACGAAGTACTCGATATGGTATATATCGCATGGCCAAACGTCTACTTAAGATTAATGAGTATTTTAATACTCCCTTCGTTCCTATTTATATGTCATCCTTACTAAAAATAGATGGTCCTTAAAACATGTTATTTCACAAAACCATTACATAATATGTAATACTATTCATCCTATTTTACCCTTGAGAGCTATTAGTCTTGAAAGTATGAATTTGACCAACCTAAGAAAACTAAATGATTAATTCATGTTCATTGGTCAATTTGATTAGTCAAAATAAATTAATTTATGTTCATTTATTGAAAAAATGACTTTAAGAGAACACAAAATAAGGGTATAGTAGTACACTTACATAATTTCTTAAGGAACGTAAAATCTAAAATGATGACATATAAATAAAAACGAAAAGAGTACATACTTTCTTTGACTTATAATCACAAGATTTGAAATCTTATTTACTATCCTAAATTTCATGCCGAAAGCTGCATGGTTTTGTTGGATGCAAAGGTAATATACCAAAAGAGCTGGTTTTACTATGTATAGAAATAGATATGTACGCTCCTGAAGTATTTTGGTACAATATTTTTTAAGCATTAAAATTATTGAATTATCAAAAATATCCTCGTGAAGAAGCATATATGTTGATCAAGTATTGTCTGCTTCTAGACACTTATATATGATACTCTCTCTGTTTCTAATTACGTGCCCATTTTCTATTTTTTCAGTTGTCTTAACTTACTTGTCCATTTTGACAAATCAAGAAATGACAAATTCTTTTTATCGATTATACCCTCAATTAAATGACTAATTATTTTGAAAAATGTAAAACTTTTTATCTACTTTATAATTAATATGGGTTAAATGGTAAACTCATTATGTCATTAATTATTTCCTTAATAGGTGTGTCAATTCAAAAGTGGACAAGTAATTTGAATTTATTTTCCACACAACAAAGTGAAAAAAAAAAAAGGTCAGTGTTTTATTCTTGTAGTCTATTATTAGTGACTTTTTTATTGTATGCACGTAGTCCGTAGCTACCAACTTTTATATATAAAATATAGTTGAATTTAACCAACAAGATAGCATGTAATAGGAGAAAAAAAAACAGAGGAAGAAAACAGGGGATTTTGTTACAATGGCAGTAGAACCATTGGGGAATTTTGAAATGGAAAGGAGATTTGAAGGTGATGATTGTGATGATGCTAAGAAGATGAGCAAAAAGAGCTTAAATGAATCCAAGAAGTTATGGGAAATAGCTGCTCCTGCCATTATCACCGCGGTTTCTCAGTTCTCCATTGGATTTGTCAGCATTGCATTCGTTGGACATCTTGGTTCTCTAGAGCTAGCAGCCATCTCTGTTGTTCAGAATGTTGTTGAAGGTTTTGTTTTTGGAATTATGGTAAGTAATCGCAATGTGTTTGTTAGATTGTGCTACTATAAGTTGTTAGAGAGAACGCACTTTTAATTAGTTACTTAATTATGTGTTCATATGGATTGAATGTTTTCTTTGTTCTTTGTGTGTGTTAAATGTGTGTTGTATATTAGTTAGGGATGGGAAGTGCTCTTGAGACACTTTGTGGACAAGCTGTTGGAGCAGGACAATTTGATATGCTGGGCGTAAATCTACAAAGATCATGTGTGATTACTCTAGCGACAGCGTTGTTATTGACACCTTTTTATGTATTCACATCACAAATATTGAAGCTACTACATCAGGACAAAGAAATTTCAGAAGTTGCAGGAAAGTACGCTATTTGGGTGATTCCTCAACTCTATGCTTACGCGTTGAACTTTCCTGTTCAGAAGTTCTTACAAGCTCAAAGCAAAATATGGGTTATGACAGTAATCAATATTGTCATATTGGTATTTCATATTGTATTGAATTGGGTGCTGGTGACAAAGCTCGGACATGGCCTTTTTGGTGCTGCTATGGCAGGGAACGTCTCGTGGTGGCTCGTGGTTTTAGCTCAGATTTTCTATGTTATTGCTGGGTTTTTTCCTGAATCATGGACTGGATTTTCTATGTTAGCTTTCAAATCTCTCTGGAGTTTTGTTAAATTATCACTTGCATCAGCTGTCATGTTATGGTAAGTTCTATATTGATTTTTAGTCATACAAGCACTTTTTATTCTTGAGTTAATGGTCAAAAACACATCTAATTGTCACTTTTTTCATGAGTTTCACGCCTCAACTATCAGTTGTTCCCTTTACATATATGAACTAGCACCATCTATGTAATAAAACATACCTCAACTATCAGCTGATAGGTGAGGTGATAGTTCAGATAGGAATAGTAAACAATTGATAGTTGAGGTGTGAAACTCCCCAAAAAAATGACAGTTTAGGTGTGGTCTTTATTCTTATACGATTGTTACGCATGATTCGATGATATATTTGACTTGTGAAACATTGGCAGCCTGGAGCTTTGGTATTTTACTGTGGTGATCCTTATGGTTGGCTGGTTAAAGAATCCGGAAATTGCAGTAGATGCTATATCTATCAGGTACTAAACTTTTGAACTAGTTTTGTAGGCTCGCCTTTTTGTTGGTCTTACTCTTTTCTCATGTTTGTCACAGCTTGGCGTTGCAACTTTGGGTACTAATGATCACTCTAGGTTTCAATGCTGCAATCAGGTTTACAAAAATTACTTTTTTGTGCTATCTATTTTATATTCTTCTTTGACACTTTGAATTCCATGGTTTCAGTGTTCGTGTTTCCAATGAGCTAGGAGCAGGTCGTCCAAAAGCTGCAAAGTTCTCAATAGTAGTTGCTGTAATTACATCAACTCTAGTCGGAGTTGTATTTACAGTTGCTGTAATTGCTACTAAGAACTATTACCCGAGATTGTTTTCTGATAAACCTGAAGTCATACATGAGACATCTAAGTTGGCATACTTCTTAGCTGCTACTATCTTTCTAATGAGCATCCAACCTATACTTCATGGTAATCAAAATTCATCCCAAATGTTGAAAAATACGACACTAAAAATAGTTTTAGTGCTAAGCTATCTGAACGAACAATTCTTGTGCAAGTGCAGGGGTAGCAGTTGGTGCTGGATGGCAATATTCAGTCGCGATTATAAACATCGTTTGCTACTATATGGTTGGGCTTCCATTAGGTGCTTGTCTTGGTTACATTGCCAATACTGGTGTTAAGGGAATTTGGACAGGAATGCTCGTTGGTACCCTGCTTCAAACAATAGTTATGACGTTCAAAATGTGGAAAGCTAATTGGCGAAAAGAGGTAATTAGTGCATTTGATCCATTAACTAGACAATTTGTTTCGGGAATGTGAATGTATACTTTATCTGGTGCAGGCAATTCATGCTGAAGAACGGGTCAGAACATATGGCGATCAGCCTTCTCAAGAAGAGATTGGTTCGCGTAGTACCTCGCCTCTGCAATAAACAAGAATCGGATAGATATATAGTATGGTAAAACCGGAAAATTTTGCATTAGAATTGTTTAGGACTGCAACAAAAATTTGGTCATAATGGACCTGATTGCGCAAGTCTTATATTTTCGTACTTACAATTTTTGGTGTTTACCAAACGTGATGAAGATGTAAAGAAATGAACTCTGCTACTTTCTAAATAAATTGTGTTGCTGCCAAAAGGGAGCTAGGTGGGGGTCGTGGGTTGGAACAAACCAGTAGCTTTTATTTTGTTTTGTTCCTGTATTTGTACTAGAATCCTTGTCATTTAGTATTATTTGCCCTTTATTTATGTTGGGGCTCTATATAACACCATTCAAGAAGTAAACTACCACTAAGATAGTATTTTTAAATTGATGAACAAAGTTAATAGCCCTTTCAACAAATTATAAGGATAGATGCCTGTTATTTCAAAGCTTTTATTAAGTTCAAATGCATTTTTTGGTAATTTTAAATAGTATTTTGTTTGTTAAATATACTTTTGTCAGTTTAAATTATTTTTTTACTGAGTTAAAATCTGATGTTAATCATGTTATAAAGTTTTCCCTAGTAACATTGCTGGATTCCCCTCTCTGCAGTCCTTTTTATTATTGTATTATTTTCTCATGGGATGTTATAAAGTTTTCCCCGATAAAAAGTCATCGTTACTTTTTAAACTCTGTTTCAAGTTAAAATTAGACAAGTAAATTGAAATGGATCGAGTAGTTAATTTGATAGAGAGATGATATGAGTCATTGCTTAGATAGAACTGAATCTACACTTCTAGAAGTAATTTATAAAGATTTGTTTCCTTTTGTATTTTATTTTTATGAAAGGAAATTAATAAGAGAATAAGAACACAGAAGTAAACAAACCTGACCAAATTCCTATTTTAAGGAATATATTTCTTTGGAAAAAAGACTACTAAAACTGCTGTAGAAAAAGGGATAGATCTGCTCACATAAAATCATGGAAAATTTAAATATTTGACAGATCAATTTGCAGTACTAAACATGTACTCACTCCGTCCCAATTTAAGTGTTTTAGTTTGATTGGATACAAATTTAAGAAATAAAGAAATATTTTTGAATTATGTCGTTGTAAATTAAAAATATGTGTAGTCATTTAATCTTTGCGGTCATAAACTTGCTAGGTAAAATATTGAAATTTAAAAACTTAATAAACATCTGGAAAAAAAAACCTCTTTTTGAAACAAACAAAAAAGTAAAGTAACAAACTTAAATTTTTGGGACCATAAATAATTTGGTTTGTTGTGGAGATAGATATCAAATTACTTAATATATCTGCAGTAGAAACGTACACACAACTCTGCATTTAAGAATAACTTTGACATCCACATTATTCCTCATTCAAAAAAAAAGTGATAAAATGGAGGAACCGACTAAAAGATGAGGCGAATCCAGAATTTAGAGTCAGTGGATTTTGGATGTCCGTGAATTATTTTAACATAATATATACATAGTTCGAGCCAAAAGACAACTAATTTTGTATGGTACAACAGAAATTACATTGAAGTGTTGCAAGAGCATCAGGTATGAAATTATGGAAGAAAGCAATGCACTTTGGTTATAGAAAACAAATAGCAAAGAAATGGATAGATGAATTCAAAAAAGTATGGCACATAGCAGGACCAGCAATTATAACTTCAGTTTCTGTATTCTCTTTGGACTGTGTAACTGCTGCCTTTGCTGGTCAACTTGGAAAACTTGAGCTTGCTGCAGTCTCTGAAGTTCAAAATGTTCTACTATGCTTTGTAATTGGAATAATGGTATGTTCGACCTCAATTCAGTTGAACTCACACAACATTGCCCTAGATGATTCATTCAAATTTCGTGTTGAATTCTATGATATTAGTTAGGATTAGGAAGTGCACTGGAGACGCTTTGTGGTCAAGCAGTTGGTGCAGGGGAATACAACATGCTTGGAATTTACTTACAAAGATCATGGATTATCAGTATAGTGGCAGCATTGCTATTGACACCGACTTATTTCTTCGCGTCTCAAATACTGAAGCTCCTACATCAAGATACAGAAATATCTTATCTATCTGGTAAATTTGCAATTTGGATAATTCCTCAAATATTTGCAAGTGCATTGCACTATCCTACAGAGAAGTTCCTTCAAGCTCAGAGCAAAGTTTGGTTTATGGCTTTTAGTTCAATGTTGACATTGGCAATTCATGTGTTGTTGAATTGGATTTTTGTGACAAAGTTGAGTATGGGACTTGTTGGTGCTGCAATAGCTGGGAATATATCTTTTTGGATTTTGGTTGTGTCAAAGATTATTTATATTGTTTGTGGTTGGTTTCCTGAGGCATGGACTGGTTTTTCATTTTTGGCTTTTAAGTCATTAACCAAATTCTTGAGGCTCTCAGTTTCCTCAGCTATAATGTTATGGTAAGTGTGGTGAATGACTACAAATTCATATGTTGCTCGGACTCGACGAGCACTTGTTCACATTTATGAAGAGTCCGAGCAACATAGATAAATTCAGTTTCAGTACATCTGAGAGTGTGTTACATACTCTGAATCAATTTTTTTCCCTGACGAATGAATCTAATGATGGCAGTTTAGAGGTATGGTACTTCACAGGAGTGATCTTAGTTGTAGGAGGCTTGAAGGATGCTGAAGTTGCTGTTGACTCACTATCAATCTGGTAAAATATATTCCATAAATGTTAGCAGCAGGGGTGGAGAGAGAGCAGAGGCGGATTCAGAATTTAGAGTCTCTAGATGCCAAATAGACTCATCGCCTAAATTAACTTTATGTTTGATTCGAATTACTCGTCTTTTCGATTTATATGACAAATCAATCAATAAAATAGGAATAAACATGTATAAATTTTTTAAAAAGTGCTTGTAGGCTGTTTACGAAAAATTTATGGTGGTTCATAATGTTCATTTGTCAAAAATCAAATAAAGATAAATATATTAATTTTTTTCATTTTACTCTCTCCATTAATTTATAGGTTATTTTTTGTTCGCGAAATTCAAGCTATAAGGTGTATTTTTTTGTTCCTTTTAATTTTTTTTTATATAAACATGATAAGAATTGCAACTAATAATGTTTTTGGTTGAATTACAACTTAGCGAGAAGGTAATATTTATGAACAAACATAAGTTGCAATTCTTATCATGTTAATGTAATAATAATAAATATTTTAAAATATTAATTAAATTTCACGTGACTTGAATTTCAAGATAAAAAAATAATCATATAAATTGAGAGAGTATGTATATATGTAGGAGTTCATGGATGATTTTCGATTTTGGGTTACATGAAAATAGTACTAAAACTTATATAATTATTGATTAAAATTATTGATGATCTTTCTGTTATATTTTCTTGTTGGAGAATATTTGATGCATTTAAGTGTTTATGAAATTATTGAGAAGAGAAAAAAACAATTCATACCTCTTTCTATTAGTTAGTAGTTTTTCTTTTACTTCTTTAAGAAATTATAATAAAAATGATAGTTTAGTATTTTAATCTTTAAGATAAACATTTTTGTAATTTTTTACAGATTTTGTTTACACTTTCAAGAAAAATTAATTGTTAGGATAATGAAAATAAAAAAAAATTGTTGTTTAAATTTGTTAATTGACAAATATTTTTTAATAATTATTTTTAGTAAAATGTAAATAATTAATATAGGATAGAAAATTAATATCTAATGTTAGGAGTAGGATGAATTAGGCTAAATTTCATACTTATAAAATTATTTAAATATAAAGAAAGTAGCAAATAATTTGAAACAATGATAAAAAGGAAAAAGGTTGAAAAGCTATTATGATTTATGAGAGGAGCCTTGAATGTGCCAGCAGTTTTAAAAAGGGAAAAAAGGTAAATGTGTCAAACGGTTCGATCCCGCAACCTGAGGCTCAAATATGTGGCCTTTTACCACAGGCACCACAGAGTACTTTGGTACTGTGGGTGGCAGGTTTATTATTTTTTATATAGATTGTGTATATATATACCTATATACAAAAAGTTTTCGTCGAAGCTGGTGGATGGCATGGCACCCCCACCCGTATGCATAACTTTGAATAATTTAGAAACTAAAAGAACACTAGTAGCTAAAATCTTTTCTAGAAAGAGTATGCATAACTGAACATCTCAATTAATCCATCTATGAAGTACTCCCTCTGTTCCTAATTACTTGTTCATTTTTCTTTTATAGTTGTTCCTAATTATTTGTCCATTTTGACAAATTAAGAAAGGACAAATTCTTTTTACCTATTATACCCTCAATTAAATGACTAATTATTTTGAAAAATGTAGAAATTTTCATCCACTTCATAATTAATAGGGGTAAAATGGTAAACTCATTATGTCATTAATCATTTTCTTAATAGGTGTGTCAATTCAAAAGTGGACAAAGTAATTTGAATTTATTTTCCACACAACAAAGTGAAAAAAGAAGAAGAAGGTCAGTGTTTTATTCTTGTAGTCTATTATTAGTGACTTTTTATTGTATGCACGTAGTCCGTAGCTACCAACTTTTTTATATATAAAAACTAGATAATGTTGCCCGTGCTATGCACGGGCCCAATAATATAAATGGTATGTTTTGGGGCTAATAACGGCATTTTAAAAGTGATTGTTTGCGTGGATAAAGGAATAAGTTTTTTTATCACAAACCTGTACTTTCTTTGATGCTATTTAAGGCATAATAAGACTACTCACATATAACATTTTTGAAATATTTTATGTTGTCAATTATCATGATTTATAGTATTTTTACG